ATGCGTATACGGGCAGCGAGAGGACGAGGGGTGGAAAAAACAAAGCGACGATAAGCAAAGTGTGTGCGGCGTAGGTGCAATGGGCGCGAGTGTTATGGCGCGCGTAAAAAGTTTCCGGCCGGGGATGAGGTGAGAAAATCGAGCCGAGCTGAGGGTAACGGCAGGGGATGAGTCGGTGCTCGCTAACGAAGGCGCGTTGAAGGTACGCTGGGAAAACCACGGGCAGAGATAACGCGATGGAAAACACTCCCTTGGGATAACACTGTCTCGTCGCTTCCATCTTTACCTTCCGTTTTTTCTACATCTGGAATATTCAGCCGAGGACACCCGAGACGGGGGGAAGTTGGACAACGATTGATTTTTAAATTATTAGCTAGAAAACGCAATAGCCAAAAGGGCATACTCACACTCTCAACACATTTCGTTTGTTCCAAAAAAACTCTTCAGTCCACCTACACGGTCCGGCTGTACACTTCAACGAGAAAGCTCGAACATGTCCATCTCTAAAACGCTCCAGTGCATCCTCTAGTTCACCAGCCCTCCCGAAAAAAAAAATCCATACACAAGGGACGCACATCTGCAAGCCCGTCCTGTCCTCTGCACGACTCCCCGGGGGTCCCCGCAATTTTTAGCCGAAAAAAAAAAAAAAATTTTAAACACGGCGAGCCAATATACGTGTTGGAGAGAGGGTGAGAGAATTGTCATATATCGTACAGGTATTATATTCGGGAGGAAGCAGTAGAGTTGCATGTCCGGCAGCCGGTGCAGTAGGCGTCACGTGTGTTTGTACACTGCAGCGTATAGTAGGTATGCAGGGAATAGCTAGTCATATACAACAAGCACATCGCGACGCAGTGCAGTGCTCACCCGATGGGTGTGGGTACACATATCAAGCAACTCGTATATATACCTACCTACTCTCTCGAGCGTCCGTGGCTCTGTGCTTGCTCACGTACGCGCGACGCGTAAAGCAGAGGGAGATGTACCCATATAGTCGATAGTTCCTCCTCTTCCTCGCTGATCTTACGGCTGTGCATATAGCCACGTCACGTATAACGCACTAGGACCCTCATCCGGACTCCGGACTGTATGTATGTAGTCGGCCGGAATCGCGTCTAAGACGATCTACGTCGAACTTGAGTCCATATAATGCGCACGTGTGTGCCAAAGATGGAGAGGAGGGTGGCACGATAATTTGCTCGATCTCTGCTCACTTCTGCATACCGAATCAGGCATACCCACGTACTACAGCTTTGCGCGATTGTGAGTAGTTCTCGGTGGGTTAATCTTCCGATGGCTCGTGAGATTGTTACTGGAGCAGATATTTACCTTGCAATGACGCACGTTAAAAAGTTAAAAAGTTACGCTCGTAGGATGAGAATTCCTGTATTTTTTTTTTCAATGGCTACTGCAACCTCCTGCTCCACCCAATAGACGTGCTTTTCTCCCCGAAGCAATTCCCAAATTGGCCGTGCGCATCTTCTCTCCCGAGTATTGCCGGTGGACACGGAATTTCGGCCGAGTGTCCACAACATGAGTTCTCCGGGTCCTTTTCTATATTGCAGAGGCTCGAGGAGGACGCTGCGGAGAAGTTACACCCCACTGCAATACACCGACACAATCGGGGATTCGTCGCACGAACGGCTACATATGTATACGTAGAGAGGCCGAGTCGGTGTCCCCATCGACGCCAGGATCAAGCGAAACGACTCGAGCGCCACGATTATTGATAGCCTCCACGTCGGAAATCAGGTCCGTATCCTCGTCGGCTACTTTCCGGATGCTGCTTGTACGCGATGCCTTTTATACCGTCCCATCGTTTTATTTACGGCCGGAAAATTAAGATGGGCCCTCTCCCTCCCCGTGCACCACTCCCATGGACATTAAATAATCACCCAGGGACGCCAAGTGCACCGTATTATTTTTTTTTGGTGAGGTACCGGGCAAACTCAAATGTAATGTCAGCCAAATCAATTAGGTGGACCCGTTGGGGAGCAGCGTCCAATTACGCGGAAGGTCGGGTACTTGACAAACTTATCTCCAACTCGGAGGGCAAAACGCAATCGACAGAGAGAGAGAGAGAGAGATCCATCGGAGTTAGCTTGATATTCAGCCCAGGGGTTGTTATACGTACAGGGTACAGGTAGACACGAACGGGGTACATAGGCCCGACATTAGCGTTAATCTCGATAATAAAATCAGCCGAGAGCTAGCAAGGGCCGAGGGAGGGGAATTACATCGGCAACTGTACAATTTCGCGTTATCTGTCGTTATCCCTCATCCGTTTCCCTCTCCTATACAACATTTGCGCCCTCTCGTATAGTCATACACGCGTATAAATCATCGCGCGCGTCGCTATTGCTAGTAATTTAGCTTCCGGAAAATCCGAGGCGCGAGAGAGCAGTCGCGACGGAAGGCATCAATTACTCACGGTAATTAGTGGCATAACAATCTTGTCGCGCTGGATGACTCGCGCGCGTCATTAACGCGAGAGGCCCTCCCCCCCCCTTCCGTGAAAGAGAGGAGTCGCAGCATGTGCTATTTGTGCGTGTATATATAGGGGGACGCTTCGGCGCTGATGCTCGAGTGCGCTTTGTCTCGCTTTCTGACGGCACTTCAGGACATCTTCAGCCAGACTGCAGCTGCTCTTGCCTGCTCCATATATATATATTTATATGTATATACACTTGGACGGGGGATAGTGTTTCCTATTTAATGCACCGTATTTCCACTGCGCCCGTCGCCCTCGACGTTTCTCCCCCGCGCACAATACATGTACATACATGCATACAATACATTACGATGCTTCCAGTCAAGTGTTGACTTTCGCGGCTGATGCGTGTCTGTGAATATAATGTATGGGAATATCGCCCATACCTCCGGGCTGGTTGACCCGCGATTTCTAGGGTACGTAGATTTTTTTTTTATCTAAAAATAAGAAAAAAAAAAAAAAATCACCCCAAGGTTGGTACTTTTGAGAGGAGAATGGAACGCAAAACCATCGCCAAGTGGCCCCGAACACTACAATTTTAACCGTTTGACGCCCCGGGGAGCAGGAAACAACCCCGCGCTATTAGGGTCTAAAAAGAGATTGTCGAGCGTTCATCAAAAGTACATAATTCCCTCGTCGCACACGTGCATACACACACACGGTGTATTATTCGCTCGTTAAAATGCACTTTCTCTCCGCGTCAGTCCTTTTTTTTAAAAAACCGTTTTTAAACGTACTTGGCTGAAGAACAACTGCGCGCGGCATAAATTGCCGCCTCGAGTGGCGCTTCCCTTATTATTGCAATAGCCCCGCACTGCTTCCATTAAAGGCACACGCATATACTTTTCTCGCGCAATTTACGCGCACTTACAGAGCCCCGCCCCCCTTTTTTTCCGGGCCTAATTGTTCGTCGTAGCGCGGATTCGAGAGCGAAAATTTCGTCAATGAGGCGCGAGCCTGAAACGAATTACAACAGCGCGGAGTTGCGTCACAGGCGCCACCTTAAAAAATCCCTTCGCACGCCCAAAAGCCGAAAACTCAACTCCCCGAGGTAATTAAGACGCGTCCAACCCTTTGAAAATTAAAACGCGCCCTGTATACCGTCCGACCGCACGTATGGCTAGTGTGTGCCACGCCACCCCAATAACTACAGCCCCACACCCTTGGAAGCCGAGCGGCCGCACCGACATTTTCCTGGACATTTTCCTCGGCGTTTAGCGTCCAGTTTGTCGGAAAGGGCCTCCTCCCCGTGCGTCCGAGCAAACCGAGGAGGGAGGAAGGAAGGACGGAAGAAAAGGGACGGGGCGAAGCATATGCGAAGGAAAAGCAAGTCCAAGGGGGGGGGGAGGGTAAAAGGACAACTTTGGTGCGTGAGTGCGTGGCGTGTGCACAAAGGGGGTACGGTTCCCTTGGTGACCGGGAAAGCAGCGGCATACCTTTGTGGGTGTATGTATATATATATATTTCATATTGATGGAGCATCGATATACCTATCCCCCACCGAAGCCGTCCAAGGGGTGCGAGAAGCTCGTGTATATATTATATACGTGCATCGGAGGGGGATAAATAGAAGGCGGGTGCAAGGTAGCGTGTGTACAATCGCAACGCCGTTCTCCCGCCATCGAGCGACAAAGCAGAGGAGGAGCCGAAGGCGCGTGTTTACTCTGTGTCCGCATTGTTGCTTCAAGCCTCGTTAATGGACTTTGCTCCGGCACGGGAGACGCGTACGAGAGAAAAATCGCTCTACCATATTAAATATATACCTGTAACACGGTTTGCCTGCACATTTTTTGTTTTTGTTTGTGTCCGATGCGAGATTTTTTTTTCATCGTTGTGATATTCGTAATATTCCTTCCTACCCCTCTGTACTACGATCCCCTGTCCTTCATGAGCTCGAGAGTGGGTGGGTGCGGTACAGTTTTCACGGTTAACGGGCACGTGGCCTCCCTTTGATTCGACACTACTGCACGACCGGATGGCATAACTGAATTTTAATGACATCTGTTCACGGGCTGGTGCGATACGGGGGGGGGGGGGCGATTGTTCGATTTTCATTTCGACGTTCGAGGGCCCGCGAGGATGATCGATGGACGGCTGATGTTTACCCGAGAGCTCTTTAGCCGAGAGGAGGCTTCGGTGTGACTGTGTACACACGTATATTATACATGTATACACGCGTGGGCCGGGGCGATGAAGGGTTCGATGTTTTTCGAAAATTTATATCTGCACCACCACTGATACGGGGGACGCGTGGATGGAGCTGCCGATGAGGGCGAAATTGAAATCGACCGCCCACGCTATACTGTCGCTTTGTGGGAATCATCATGGCTCATAATGCCGATTTTTCGATCGGCTCGTGATTTCGCGTGGGGCTCTGTTGCTTTTTCCATCATTTAGTATAGTAGGTGGCTAATGGCCCTTGTTCCTCGTGCACGTATATATATACGTGTGTGCATTCTCATTGTTTTTCAGTGATTCAAAATATGCAATGGTTATATAATAAACTCACCGGCTGCCCAGCCAAGCTCTGCCAAGTGAATTCGAGGTCGTCGATGTTCGCCGCAACTGGGACGACAAAGTTCATGGCGTACGCGTTGATGATGCCGCCTCTCACGTAGTACAGCTCCGCGTCCAGTCCTGCAAGCACAACATCAATGTTGTCATTTTCAATGAATAAACAGTGTTTTGTGGGTGAAACAAAAAAAAAAAAAAAACTTTTTACAAGTCCCTCTTGAGCGTGCGATAAATCGCAATCGCTGTCTCCGCGCTCCCTCCAGCAAGAGATTCAACTTTTGCCCGGAAAAATAATTCGAGCCGAAAGTTCAGCCGCGAAAATACCAGCGACAAAGTCAGAGGTGGAACGAAAAAAGGGAAAAAGAAAGGAAAGCCCGACGATTCTTTTCCCCCGGTTGTACAGCCGAATGGAGAGAGACTCCCGTGTACGCGTAGGTAAATATATACACGCGGAAAATTTTCCGAGCCAAATCTCGCGGAGGCTTCATTTCCCGCCGCGCTCATCCGTCTCTTCCGTGTGCTGCAGCTATAGCGAGGAAGATCTGCCCCCATCCACCGTCTACGTCGTCGGAGTTGTGGCTTTGATACTCCGTGAAAATCCTATCCCTTCGGGATTTGAATTTCACGACGATTTCCCTGCCCCTTTGGCTGTGTATATATGTATACATGTACATGTACATTTGTACGGCTGGTTACCCCTACGTCTCCTTTTTTTTTTCACCCCTCGCTTCCTCCTCCTCCTTCTCTTCCTGTACCAATCCACCATCTCCACCTACTCAACGCTGCAGGTGCCGCCAGAGATTCCCCGATCCGAAACAGCGCTGATTTTACGTAGGTATAGCTCTTACCACGCGGATCTGAATCCTTTGGTTTTATTGCGGGGCACACGCCGCGCAATGATTGCCTTCCGCCGTGCCTATATGTACGCCGGTCGAAGGCTGGTGAGGATTTATCATGCGGCTCGGCGCCTGTAGCGTGTATAGGCGGGATTTTCGGGGAGATTTATCGCGAGGCTCCTCTTATTTTTGCGGTTGAGGAGGGGAGGGGGGTTGCCTTTGCCTTACGTGCCCGAGCCTCGAAATAGTCCCCCACGGAGTCGGTCGAGGTTCGGTTATAAAAAAGGATATTCCGCTCCGCCTGAGGCTTACAAGTGTATGTGCTACCTGGTGGTGGCGCCCGCGCATATAAGTCAAAAGCTCAATTGGTACGGGCCGATCATTTTTTTTTTTTTTTTTTGCATTTCCTCTGCTTCACTCAAAAATAGAGGGATGCAGGGAGCGAGCGTCAAAAAAGGGACGTCAGCGCAATTAGTCCTGACAGGCTGGGCTTGGGAGGGTGCGCGTCATAATCAGATGAAAGCCGAGCAATTTAAATTTCACCCCCACATACGCTCCCCTTGAACGTATCCTTGGACGCGCTCGTAAAAATCCGGAGCCTCGTCCGAGAGGAGAGGGAGGAGAAAAAAAAAAAAAAATCTAAAATAAGAAGCGACACCCCGCGTCCCCGAGGAGAGAAAATGGATAGTATGCGTATAGTCTCTCTGCCGCATATAATTTCCGCCAAACTAGCCTTGGCACGAGAGAGCCGCTGATAATACTATAGACTCGCTGTGGCAGCATGTACATATATATACTCTCTCGAGGTGGTGCACAAAGTGGATTCCTCCTTGGCGCCCCCGAGAGCTCATACGCCAGACACGATTCTCTACTTAACAGGCGGCAACAGCCATCTAATGGCTGGGGCTGTCGGACGCACCCTTCTTCTCCTCTTCTTCTTCCTTGGCTCTTGTCTCCTCTAATGCAGCCCATCTGCGCATAAGCTCGTCTCCTTTGCCGTAAACGTATAGGAGTGTCGACTAAAAACACATTGCACTGTTATCGGAGTTGTTTTTTTTTTTTTTTTTTTTTCAATCAATCATTAGTTGTTAATTTTAATCTCAAAATCAATAAATATCGTCTCGCTACGTCTGCAACCCGTACTCCCTCGAGGGAAAAAATAAAGGACTCTGGCTCCACTCATGAGCAGTTCCGCGCTCCTCGCACCCGAAAGTGCAATCCCTCAAGAGCAGAGTGGGATCGCGTGACTCGAGCATTTGGAACAGAGAGAGAGAGAGAGAGAAAGTGTGCTCGGCACGTCGCTAGGAGAATCTAAAAAGGGTTCGGCTGGCTGGGCTGCCCCCCGCCGCTATGCTCCCTTGCGAAATCGTTGAAACATTCATGACGCGTAAGAGAGATTATGAGAGCCGCGACGAGAGAGAAACCTTCGAAGGTGATGGTAAGGGTCGGGGGGGGGGTGGGGGATCGCAGTTTATATTTGTTTTACAGTTTAACTGTGCGCCCTGTCAGCCGGCTGGGGAGGGGGGGAGATCCAAAGCTTGGATGTCGCTAAATTGTCACGAGCGCGTAAACGCCGCGGAATTGGATTTTAATACTTGATGGGCCGCGAATGTGACTAATGCTCGGTGATTGTGCGACTATATATTTATACCGGCGGAGGACACGAAAACGTGAAATTTCGTAGCCACGAGGGAGTTTGATTTTCGCGCGTACTCTCGATAGAGCCTCTCGATTCGGCAAATATCTCACCCTAAAGTCCATTAAAAATCTTTAATGGAGAAGCTCGGGTAAAAAAAGAAAAAGAGAGAAATCAACCGTCGCAACCGATAGCCTGATACCCTCGAAAGCAAACAGTGAACGTCGGGGGACAAAAAAAAAAAAAAAAACAAAAGAGGAAGAAAAACACAGCATATGCTCCCGACAAATCTCTGCGCTCAAGGGTGGATAAGAGAGCCTTGGAAGGGCGGAGGGGGAAAAGTCTGCCGCTCGGGCCCGGCGACACGTACGGAGCGTAAAAACTCAATTAATATCGAATCAGCTGAAATCCCTGCCGGCAGGAGCCAGGACAAACACGGTACGCTCGGTAATCGCGCTGCACTTAGCCGAGTAAGGGTGTGTGTGTGTGTGTAGTGCCGAAAGCTCGTGTACAACGCACGGCCGATCGACTGTATACCGCTTCCCCGGAAGTAAACACATTAGGTATACAGAAGCGCGACGTACGCACTCTTCTCTCATCGGGGAAGCTTTTACTTTACCATCCGCATACGGACTGGAGATTTTGAACCCCCCCCCCCCCCACAGCTTTCTGCCAAAGTGTGCGTATACATATTACACGGTCACATGCGCTTGGGATGATGTATAGGCGTCCGTGTTTCGGGGATGCACGATAGGAATTTATCGCTGATCGATGCGCGTGTACATGAGGAAATCCACAAAAAATCTCCTGTTTTCATCTCCTACTTTACTGAAAAAAAAATTTTTTTTGAGGTACACCTTTGGGTTTCAGTGAGGATGACACCCTTTTTCTGTGATTTAATTGTCGTTATTATATTTACAGACATCACATGAATGGAAATAATTTTAACGCGTAAATCGAGGGAAAAGGGTATCACTCTCAAAAACTTTTAATCAATGGAGGACAAAAACGGGATATTTTTTGCGGGTCTCCTCATATAAGTACAAGTACGCTGCTTGCCAAATGAACAAAGACCGAGTTGGATCGCTTGTTACCTTTATTCTTTTTGGTGGGCGAAAATCAACTCCGCGGACCGTTGATAAGCTCAATGCAGTGGAGGTCGATTCGAAAACAGTGGGGAAGTAATGACTGTTTAAAAACTTGGTCGGGAAAAAAAAAGTGGGAGAGCGTGGGGTGGAAGACGGAGCAATTTTTAACTTGTTCGAATAGCCGGTTAACTCGGAGAGCTTTCGAAAGCTCCGCCGAGGGTGTACACGCGGTAGCGCTGGAATTTCCCGGGGCTCGTGAAACTTCTCGATCCATCGGCACACTTCAATTTTTTTTCCCTCCCTCTTTTTCTACAGCGCGCCAGGGCTGATAGCCGGGAAGAAACACTGACGGACTTTTAATTAGCAGACTCGCGTCGCGCACGAGTATGTTCTCCTCGAAACCAGACGATCCTCGATGGGTGCTTAATTTACGACGCCGTGCTTTGGACTTTTTTTAACGTGAAAAAAAAAAAAAGAAAGAAAATCATCATCCAAGCACTCGTCACTGCTACGATGCGATAATCTTTGATCTCCGTGCCCAGAGATAAAAATGTCAAAGGCCTGAAAGAGAGGAGCGCTTGAAAAAAATCTCGATTCAGAGACCGACGACGCCCACTACTGGCTTTCTGCTCGCACCTCGAAAAAGAAAGAGCCAGCTAAAAGCTTGCGCTCGCGCCACACATTTGCACACCCACCGCTGCGCGGGTGTAATAACCCCCTTTGGCGTCCACGTGCACGCGGCTGGGGGGGGGGGACAAAGGATTAAGCAAGGCCGGTGGTTCTTCCACTACGAATTATCCCGCGCTCCATGGAGGGCCACTTTCCCAAACGCCTTCCGCTCAAAGCCAGCCCAACATCCGCGAGATGCAAAGGACGAGCTTGCACAGTTATGCAGAGTGCGTCTGCACGTATGCATATGAGGGTGGTAGGCGCAGTTGGTAAATGAACGTCGGTGTCTGTGTACACGCGCTGTCGTTTGAACGGCAAAGCCATGCTCGTGAGCCGATGACTGTTTGTAAGACCGTTTGCCGAGCTCCGATGAATACACTCCGTGCCTTTAATTTCCTCGGCAAAGGCTTAGGTGACGCATTGAGGTGTACCCACCTGTTATCACGGAGTTTATGTAATCTGGTGCTGTGTCTTTTAATTGGATGTCCGTGCGTTGCTCTGGTTAATTTAGATAGGATCAAATTGAACAGATGAGGCGGTGCTTACGGCCCCCTTGGGTCTTAATTTTAGGCGGGGAATAAGACAGGAGCAAACAACAAAAAAAGAGAGAAAGAAAGGAAAGAATCTGCCAAGGATTTTAATAAAGAAGTACAAGATCGCGGCAAATGGGCAATTCTCGGCAGCAGCGGCAACAGGAGAACTGGGTGCTCCGGTGCGCGCAAATGTACACGCGCTTTAATTAAAACGCACGTATCTCGCCGCGCGAGGGGAGGGAGAAAAAATAATTATTCCGATTGCGCTGTTGGGCCGGAGGAAAATTACTCTTTTTTTTTTTTTTTTCCCTCCCGCGATAGTCCTGAAAATTTAGGGCGAAAAATTTTAATCCACCGGCAC